GATGATAATGAATATTCATAGCAGGTGCGCGTTTCGCACAGTGTCAAGTCACGTGACAAGGAAAAATGTGCGTAATAAGTGTATACCACTCCAGTACACCCGTCAATATGAGTACTTAATAATTTTCAAATAGAATAGCGTAGCGGCACTACATACGTGATTTAAAGGGAAAACATTTTGAGGACTAGAGTGTAAGTCCTCACGCTGTAGGTAGGTCCTCTATTTGTTGGTGTGCAATCAGTCTCAGGTCCTCTAATTGTCTGCTATACAAACACACACACACACACACACACACACACACACACACACACACACACACACACACACACACACACACACACACACACACACACACACACACACTATATATATATATATAAGATCTAAGAGGTAATTGAGAAAGATAGGGCTGCCTCTGAAAATGGAAATGAGAAACAAGTCTTATGTAAAGAATTCAAAAAGTCAGATATTGCTTCGACTAGAAACGTCCCATTATTGGATATAGCTTTCATTTCCCTACAAGAATATTGTCCAAAGCGATAAAATAAGTCCAACAATATATTTGCATTGACATATCAAGATCCATTAGAATGTGTCAAACTCAAGCCTGAAATTTCTTCCGCGAATTGTGACGTAGTTACAAAAGGCATGTCAATGATCAATAAAGAAAGACATCTGTAGGGACCAGTATGCACATGCATTCACGAACGCCAACATTGTCATGCTGCCATTTAGAGGAATAAACCCTTTAATATACTAGATAAACTTAATCTATAAATCATATATTTGCGTGCCTGTCAAATTGTTCAAACAATGATGCTAACTTACCTGTGGAAAAGTTTACAAACTGCATACATCCGGCATGAAGAAATATAAAAGAATTTCCAGTAGACAATAATTGTTATGGATACCATTTACTTCCGGTATACTGTCAGTTGACATTGAAAGATTCCTTTGGCATTATTCCACATTCAACCTTTTTATACTCAGTACGCGATCGAGTTTACGCTTTCAGCATAGACAAACATATCACTTTTGGATACTATAAACCTACGCAAAAACATTTTCTCACAACAAAATCTGCTTGAGAACCATCAAGCAGATCGCCGAATATTGATACCCGGTAGTGAATACCCAGTAACTGTTGGTGAATTTTCCCAGTTCTTTAAACCAAGCCTCAAAGTTGATAATGAACACCTAGTGGCTGAATTGTCCCGGTTCATAAAACTATGACGATCAAGCTATAGCTGCAGACGACAAGTAAACAACGGGATAAAAGAAAGAAAAATTGACAAGTCGGAAAATGCAGGTCCTTTTGGAATAATGGCTCTTTACTGTAACAGCGAGATTCATTCTAGGCATTTATTTTTAGTTTCTAAAATAGTTATTTCACATCAGCCGCACGAAATTTGGTTCGTACAATTTGTGGAGAAAACTGTGCCGTAGAAAGGTCGCAGGCAATTTGGCAGTCTTTCTAGAAAAAATTGTAGATATTTAGGCAGACGAACGCTGTTCATACGGGAGCCGCATGGCTCACACGATATTTAAGCTTGAAAGTAGGACAAAAACCAAAAACATGACCGTGCAACAAACGTGCGATTGTTAAGACAATCGTAAGGCAATCGTACGAACTTGAAAAAATCGCAGCGGCACCGCACGACGCACAATAATTCGCAAGGCTGCCTGCGATGTCTGTACGTTCATCGTACGAATTAGAAAGTGAGGATTGAATGCAACACCATCATTAGAGCACTCCATATTCAATCAAACCGGGATGGCAATCCAACAGCAAAGGCATTTGAGTATTTTAAGACGGAGACGTCATTTAGAAGAAGAGCGCCACGCAATAGTTCTGGAGCTGCTTATCAGACTGCAACAAGACAGAATAAGACGAGCCAGGCGTTGGTGGGTCAAACCCTAGATTGCGCGACGTCGGTTGTTTGGCTAACTAGTACTAGTATCACATATTCATCCAGGAGCTGGATAGAGAATCCGAGGGTGATGAAGGATAAGCTGCAACATGTTTGCCGATTTTATGTTACAGATTACACCCCTAGATGTTTAACTGGCATGTTCTAGGATTTTGAAAATTATATTATGCCTACGTCACATTACAAGCGGGGACCGGCCGATATAGAGGGATCGATGGGACACCGTTGATAATTTGAGATCGGAGAGAAACATTTCAATCATGTCCGGGAAGAAGTGGGCGGTCATTCTCCCTCTGTGGTCAGTTAGGTATTCGGACGGTTTCCGAAAGGTACTCGCCCGGACATCCGGTGAAAACCCTTGGCTTCACCGGACGGCTGTCGGACGGTATTCGTATGGCATGCTATCCCATTTTCCGGCCGTTATTCACCCCACTTTTGTTGGCATTTTTCCTCTTCTCCTCTGATTTCTCCCCTACCCCTTCTTTGTTTTCTGTTTTGGAAGGTATATTACACTCTGAAATCAAAGTTTTTTCATAAAAGATTGTTAATGAAACTTGAAAACTTTTAGTAACCTCCATGGACGTGTGTGAAAACAGAGAGAATGTTTGTGTGTAATTGAGTTTCTAAATACTCGCCATGGGTTGACCGTATAGGCGAGTCCTCCAGAAGAGTATTAGTTGTTCTAAATGTTGGAGGACAGCGCAAGATACAGATAGCAAGATGCCCCCATTTCAGAAAAATATGAAAAACAAGATCAATAAGGAAAGCGGCGTTCTCCTTCTTTTTTACCTATCAAAGTGTTTCAGCACTCATACACGGGACCTCGCTTTAAAGTCTCGTCTAAAAGATTCCTAGTAATTTCAGTTGGTCATCCCGGGAATCGAACCCACAATGTACAGATTACAAGTCCAGCTATTTAACCGATTCAGCTCTGCACGCTGGCTAATGAGAGAATGATGGTGTTATTTATGATTTACCCTGAGGACATTGGCAGTAATATACATACCAGAGCACAGTCCATCCACCGCATCGTTCAAGCAGTTAAACAGTAATAATCTTTTTCCTTTTCGCAAGGTACTGATAACATCTGTACAACGAAAGTGACCTTCACCGTCGTCCGATGAATTGAACACGGGTCAAAGCCTTGCCCAACGCTATCCTTACGGACATTTTAGGACCATACGTGCGACGTACTGCGTCCATCCGGGTCCCGGTCAGTAACCTGCCGAGACGCCTTCGGTGACCGCTCAGATACCGCTCGGAAACTGGAGGAATATTTGGCGCCCAGGAGGTAAAATTTCTAACCGGTATGTAACCGATAACAAAAGGTGTCCGGTCGGGTATCGGAGGGTATTTTACCGTGTCTGCTACGTTGCGCTGGCGATGTACCGGATGCCGGAAGAAAATAACTCTGCACTAAAATTCTCCGATTACCCGTACGGTGCCCCACCGATCACTTGACACCGGAGGGTCACCGGCCGGAGACCTTTAAAAAATTGGCAATTTCAGCCCGTTCAGGCATCGGTCCTCGATCGTAAACCTAATCGGAGTGTAATGTGACGCAGGCTTAAGACGCGTAACTGACGCAACGGTCGTAGGACTGTCGCACGGCTGCCGTACGACTTATACGACTGTCTTACGATCTTCAATTGCCATGTGACAGCATTTGTTTACGGCCCGCGGTGGCCGTACGATGCTCGTGCGGCAACCCCGCGGTCGTCGCAAGACAAACGCAAAACATTATGACTTGAGAACTTTTAGAAATCGTGTGTCTGTCGTTCGATTGTCTTACGACAGTCTTGAGAAGTCCAGAATCTGTCAAAAAAGAATCGCAGAAATAATGTGCATGTTGAGAAAACAGCTTGCCACGTTGCGACAACCTTGCGACATTAATAGAATTCGTACGACTCTCTTACGGCTGCCGCACGAAACACGTTATTTATTTTTGGTTAAAATGCGTTAGCACGTCTGCAGTAATGATGATTTGATATAGGCCTTACATAACTCTTTTGAAGACAAATTATCTGTTTTTTTATTACGGCGACATTGTATTTTCTCTCCGACATGTACATGTATACCATTCCTTTCCGATATTCATCACGGATTTTTTTTCCAGATATGACATCTCTCTCGTAGACGACACGTACACTTGGAAACAGAATGGCTTTTTTCGTAGGTTATTGTAATAGTTTTTAAAATGATATTTGAAGATTCTAAAAACATTATTTAAATAGATAATCAGAAAAAACTAAGCTATAAATTGTGTCTTGTTTTACATTTTCCCTTTTCCCTTATGCTGCAGGCTGCAACCACATGACCAGTAAACATACCAGGTGTTGTCTAATCATGATCTGCCTTTTTCGTTATTAAAGTGGATTGGTTTACAATGGCACTGGAGTGCTAACAGGTCTAGTCCATCGGACATTTTCAATAAAAAGTCTAAGTGATGACAAGCTTAATCGTGATATACAAAACACGGAATTTTTTTAACGTTTATCAAACCAAGATATGGTTGAAATATGTGGTTAAAAATGTACTTATAAAACAAAGCTCTCCTTGAGTTATTTAGTCTACCAGACCAGTTTTGTAAAAACTGATCCTTTAATCTTTGTTTCACATTATACAAAAACAGTTCAGAGTCTCCAACAGTCTAAAATAACCATACTTCATAAAAACCAACAATGAACACCAATCAATTCTGTTCGGATTATCAATAATATCTTGTTTCAACAATAAATACACCTTCTTAACATATTTGTTTTAATCTGTTGCCAACATTTTTATCCAAACATTTATAATGTTATAATATCTCATATTTTGCAAAGGCGGTCTTCCTAATTCACCATGAATAAAGTCGTTTTGTGTGTTTTTCTTTACTTCTAATAGTCTTTTGCAAAATTGCATATGTAAGCGTTCTTTGGCCTTGCCTTGATTAAAACCCTATACTTCACTTCCATAATTTAAAATAGGTATATCGTTATCATAAGATTAAAGGTGATAATAAATCAATGTAAAATAAAAAGGAAGTAATCAATGAATCGTAAGGAGGGATTCATGAAATTTTATCTGATGAGACATAGAGACAGAACAATGTTTGCACCCCTTGTTATATAGGAGAGGACAGGTTTTGACAAGTGAAACAATTATAAAGGATTTTGTTAAGGTAAAGAATTTTTTTAACATTTTTTTCAAATTAAAATAATTAATCAGATTTCAAATGCTTTATTGTTTTTATCTCAAAAATAGGGATTGTCTCTACAAAATAATATGAGCTAGTTTAGACTTATTCAATCTAATGAAACACAATAACTTGATATTAAATGATAATAATGAAATTGTACACAAATATTTGCTGTCATCATGATGTATAAATCAGAGCTGGACTATAATATACATATAAAATTATGATAGAAAGACAAATCTTATACACCTGTTTTGATTTTCAGTCACACACATGCTTACCTTCCTTTTTGCTATATTAATGAAACTTTAATAGTATTTTTTACGAGCACAAGCCCTCCAATCTCCCCACCTTGCCGAGCTTTTCTGGCTTATCCAGACAAAATTATTCAGTATTCCTGTTTCAGTCTAGAATTTCAGTTATATTTTTGACTAAACCAACTGTTGACCATCACATCACTTTTAGACAACAGTATATAAATGTCGTCATGAAATTTGATAAAATTATGCCTTTTTTATACACCCGTTTGAAAAACGGGTGTATGCAGGCGGGCGCAGGTGTCCACAATTTTGTCCAGAGCATATCTCCTACACACATTGAGGAATTTTAATGAAACTTCATAAAAATGTTCACCACTATGAGATGCCGTGACACGCACATTAACCAGGTCTCTAGGTTAAAGGTCAAAGTCACACTTAGAGATCATTGATAAACGCTTGTCCGGAGCATTGTCATTAAAACAATTATTGTCTGGAGAAATCCTTCTACATGCATAAAGGGATTCAATATAACTTGGCACAAATGTTCATTATTGTAAGGCGGAGTGTCACGTGCAAAAGTTAAGTGCCTGTGGCCAAGGTCAAGGTCACACATAGGGTTCAAAGTTCATATAAAAATATGAAAATGTGTATTCGGACCATTTAGTCATCATTAATCGAGGGATTGAAACATAAATGGTCATAATCATGACTACTGGTGTGGAAGATGTACTTTAGGTCAATATGTTTGCAAGGTTAAGGTCACTAAAGATGATAAAATATAGAGATTTTGTCCAGAACATATCTCCTATACATATAAAGGGGTTTTAATGAAACGTCATAGAAATGTTCACCACTATAAAAAGCATTGTCATGCGCATAAATCAGGTCTCTAGGTTAAAGGTCAAGGTCACGCTTAGAGGTCATTGTACAACGCTTGTCCGGAGCAAAACTTCTATATGCATCAAGAGATTTCAATATAACTTAACACAAATGTTCACCATTTTAAGGCGGAGTGTCACATGCAAAATTCTAGTGCCTGTGGCCAAGGTCAAGGTCAAACATCGGGGTCAAATTTCATATAAAAATATAAAATTGTGTATTTGTACCATTTAGTCATTATGTATAGAGTAATTAAAACACAAATGTTCATTATCATGACTACCATTGTGAAGCTAAGTGTTATGCACATAATCCAGGTCCCTACTACCAAAGTCAAGGTCACATAGTGAAGTCAAAGTCTGTGTACGGGGACCATTATTGATGGATTGTAACACAATGACTACAATTGTGACACATGTAATTGAATTAAACTTTCTTACAGATGCTTCATGTAAAAACAATCATTACAATTAAAAGTTTAAAACACAGCATGCATCATAAAACTCTAATGAAACCATATATTTTTTTGATGTGAGGAGCTACGCAGCTTGCTTTTTAAAAGGCTGGTGGTTCTACTCTTGTCTTGCCAACTTATTTTGTTTAAAAATGCATAGAGGGAATGTTGGTGTCTTCCTTGACCAGTAAGACTGGACGTGCCTTATGTTAGCTTGACATTCGCTAATAGAATGAAACAAATGGATACATGCACAATGTGTTTCTGCTAAATTTTAGGTAAAACACATGGCGGTCTCAGGAAAGAAAGCATCAAAACAATTTTCATCATCGACAACATCCATGGCATCAGATGAAGATCATCAAGTTTACTGCCAGCCTTGTGACGAGGAAGGAACTAGACTCCCTGCCCATGGTTACTGCACTGATTGCAAGGAACACCTTTGCAAGACATGCTTTGAAGTCCACAAAAAACTTAAATCTACCAAGCATCATACAGTTCTAGATGCTACAAGTATGCCTAAAGTTTTGCATCAACCCTCAACATCTATCCACACAAGCCAATCTGATGAGCTTACAACACCATGTTATAAACATCCAAAAGAAATAAACAAATTCTACTGATATGACCATACATAATTACTTTGTAGTGTTTGTGTTACCCTTGGACATCAAGCTACTTCCTGCAAAGTTGATTATATACCTGATATTTCTGCTGATATAATAGACAGCATAGAATATCTAACTATCCTGAAAACACTTAATACCACTTCTGATCATTTTCAACAGATGGTAGAGGATATCAAGCAAATGACGGTGAAATCCAACAGATCACTCAAAGATGCACTAAAAGATATTAATATGTTTCGGAAAGAAATAAACCAGAGACTTGATGAACTGGTGAGACAGGTTGTGCATGTAGCCAAGGTCACAGAACAAGAAAATAACTCAAATATCACATTAGTAGAAACATCATGTGAAGAAATTACCAAATCTTTGAAGATATCTTTGGAAAAAGTCAAGAAGCTCAACACATCAAAACAAGCTAATACACTCTTTACGGAGCTAAAGCTTGCAGAAAATTTGGTGGCAGAAGTTGAGAAAACTGCACTACAGCTATCAACATATGATGTCAAAGAGCACAACTTTCAAGCAAATGAATCAATATTGACCAACCTGAATACAGAAAGTCATTAGGTACACTGATACAGAAAACTTTAAATAAAGAGTGCAAACCTGTACAAATAAAGTCTAGACACACTTTAAACGAGGGAAAAATTTGTGTGAAGACATCACAAGAAAAAACAAAATGCTGGATTACCGGAATGACTCTGCTGACTCCTGATCTTCTTATCATCACTGACTACAACAACAAAGCTGTAAAGATGGTGGATACCAGCAATCAATCTTGGTCTGATCAACTACAAGTAGACGATGCACCATTGGATATCACACATGTAACAAGCACTGACTTTGCTGTTACAATTCCTGACAAGCAAACAATAAAGTTAATATCTATCTCATCAAACACACTCAAAACGAAGCTCACTGTGAAGGTTGGTGGAGACTGCCATGGTATAGGCTGTTACCAAGGTACACTTGTGGTGTCATACCTTCGTCCTGCAAAACTTCAGATCCTTGATATGAATGGCACTGTACTGACAACAATTGTTGGGGAAAATATTTTTCAATATCCATGTTATATCACATGTAACAGAAGTTCTATCTATTTATCTGACTGTGGCATGAGGACAGTAACAAGGTTGAACTGGCAGGGTGATGTGATTGGTAGTAATAGTGGCATGAGTGATCCGAGGAGAATGTCACTGTCAGATGATGGTACTGTCTTTGTGTGTGATTGGGCGTTAAATGTTATTAAAGAAGTGGCAGGAGACTGTTCTGCAGGAAAAGTTTTGTTGGAGAAACTTAACCAACCATCGACTGTTTGTCTATGTGGTGAAACAAAGAAGTTGTATTACAGTTGTCGTAGTTTTTATGAAACAATTGACAACTTTCTTTACATTTATAAACTGTCATAAAACTTACACAATGTTTTATAGGAAAGGCGAAAACATGTAAAGTTTGCAATCAAAAGGTTGGAAAAAACCCAATATGCATTGACGTTTTCTACAAAATTAGAAACTAAACTTGTGAAAAATAAACCATTGACACTGAGTGAAAACAAGAAAAATGTGTAGAACATATGTCTCAAAACTGTAAAATCTATCACAGATATTCCAAAAACCACATTTGTATGGCAATTTGTATAGCATTTTACATTTTAGTGCCATTTGCAAATTTTTAAAACTTTAAACAAAGTTTGAGAAAATATAAAATGAATACAAATATTTTTTTTTGTTTACAATGGTATGCTCAAAGTGAATAAGCTGATTATTTGCTGAAAAATGAATGCTTCGATTTTGTAAAAGAAATACCTCTAAAATACCTGATTGAGCATGCACAATATCATTGCCAATGCCTCATACTTGCATGTACTTTTTTACAGGGAATTTCTGAGTACTTGTATTTACAATATCATATTAAAATATTCTTTTAAAAGTATTATGTTTTTAGAATTAAATTTATCTTTTTGAGTTTTTACTTCTAAACATTTCATATAAGAATCACATATTTGGGACATGTAATAAAAATATATTGTTAACCTTTTCAATGTGTGTTAACTAGCTGTCAATCCGACCAAGCAAAAACTATTTTAGCTGTTTGTATAAACAAAATCTTTCAATTATTATTCATAATTTCAAACAGAAAAATGTTAAGGTGAATTTCCTTTGTCAAGTCAATCTGTCACCTTAGAAGTATGTGACAAACTTTGAATTTTTTGAAACTTGATAATTTGATTAAACGCCTATTTCTACGTATAAAACATATTCAATGGCGTAGTACAATATCTAAAAGACATTAACAAAAGTAAATTAAAATACATATCATTATATATTGACATAATTGATAAAAAGAATAAGAACGATTTCGTGGAACACACGCACGCACGCACGCATGCATACACACACACATACACACACATACATTTACAAATATCACACATATACAAATATCACACATATACATACACAGAAGTATCTCTCTATCTTTCGGTCTTTAAGGCAAATATTTACAGTACAGTAATTTTCTAATCACATTTCAATATTCTACCGTTTTTTGGACATCACAGTTTATATCTAACCATAAATTCCGTGCTTAGAATAGGGAGGAGAAGTCCTTAAAGAAATAAGTTTTCAATTGTCTCTTGAAAATTTCTACAGATTTGCTTTGTTTAAGGTCTCTGGGAAGTTTATTCCATAATTTTGGACCTATTGTACTAAAACTTTTATCTTAAAAGGTCTTGCTTCTGTTAAATGGTATTTCATAGCATCCAACAGCTGACTGCGATGATCTTAAAGAGCAGTTTTACATTTTCGTTTGATATGATTTTTAAAATTTAAAGATTTATCTAAGAAGGCACCAAGATATCTTATACAATGGTGCGATTCGATCTTAAAGGTCAGGTATAGCCAAGGCCTCAAACAACTTCCTTGGGGGACACTACAGTCAAGCTCTCTTACTGTTGACAAGTTGGAATTAACGTTCACCCGACAACTGCATGGTCTTAAGTACGTATCCACCCATCTATGAGCGGAGTGACATATACCATACTGGGACTTTAGAAAATCAAGTAAAATGCTATGGTCGACAGTGTCAAATGCAGCACTCAGATCAAGAGCAATCATAGCAGTGCTTTCTTGGTGTTTTGAGTGGAACTGGCGATATGCCGACTGATAAGTTGGAAGGAGATTGTTTTCGCTTACATGCTCATTCAGTCGGTAGAGTGCCGCTTTTGTATCAATTTTTTATAAGAAATTTAAGTTACTTACAGGCCGATAGTTCGTTAGTTCCGTCGAAATATCATATTGGCGATTATTTTTTCCGGTGAATATCGCATCATATTCAATAGCTTATTATTCAGTTATTATATATTGTACTAAACCTTAAAACAGCTTTTGAACTATCACTGAATGTGATAAATACCCGCCATACCCCCACAACCCCCATGCTGATGGCTTTTATATGATTAACAAGAGCCATCACATGCATGGGCTTTTATAAAATTAACAAGAGCCATCAAAAGCATGGGCGGTGGCAATTGCATAAAAGCGCGATTTTCAGCGGTCAGACATCATTTGAGACAGATCAACAATTGGATGCTAATTTAGCTGCTGAGAATGTTATGTTTTTGATGGGATGTACGAGAAGCTGATGAAGCATCTTAAAGGGATACTCAGTCAATTTATCATGATGGTTGAAGATTAAGGCCCTATTCATCAAAACAAACAAACTTCAGCTGTCCACTGGATTGAAGCTTGCCATCACGTTTGTGTACTTTGCAATCAGGGATTCGTATATGTCGTTGTCATTTAGGTTCTGGGTTGCCCACAACACCCTCGCAAAAGTTGTGCGAGGTGTATATCAAACCATATCAGACCACTTTTGCGATGGAATTTCTAACAATAAAATAGAAGAAGAGTGGGGAGGTGGCGCATGATTTCTCCAAGAATCGGAGTTTCTATCACTGATGTTGAGGCATTGATTGCAAACATGTTAGGGTAAGGATACAAGCTTTACCAAGGTTAGGCATCGTCTACAACGACCATAAAGACTTCTACTTGATTGTTATACTTGCTCTTGTATATGTCAACTACAAGTTTATACTTCTATATGTTAATTATGGTAATGTTGAAACCTCTGATATTGACTGATTGTGTGTGCGGTATACTTTGGGACTTGCTCCGTTATTTCTGCGGAGCGGGAAGGCCTTGGTGCAGGTCTAGTTTTGTCTTTGAACATCAACGGGGAAATACAAAATATTGAAATACACAAATGTTGCTCGGACGGATATCAATTTTAGATTAAAGCGCGAGTAGTAGTAGTTTGTGTTTATCGAAGGTTCATTCACCCGTTAAGCACGAAAAGCAGCTTTCGCTGTCTGGCACAGAACACTGATATGTCAGCAGTCACTTCCTTAAAGGGTAATTTTAAAGTACAAAGTGTTGATTTTTGAACTCCGTAAAGAGTATTAGTCAAAGAGATAAATTTTGAGCCTAAAGTAGGGTCACTGTACAGCGGTCATCACCAAAACGTACAGTTACCGGAGACAATATGAAAAGTTGAGGAAACTCTGATAAGAGCTGTTGGTGCAAAGCAAGGAGTAGCCTTCACTGCTAACTAGGGGCTCACGCACCCCCCTTGTGATTCTCATTGTCGTCCCTGCCTATATTGAAGTGTCTTTCCCCGCATTACAAGCATTAAGAGAAATACTTCGGACATGTCGCCATTCATGCCCTTAAAGGTTATAATCTACCAAAATGTCACCTATTAATTTTGAATTCATTACTTTTTTGAATAAATACTACATATGTCCTTAGTCTACTTTTGTAATGTTTACTATTTTCATACACAGGAGGTCAATGAGACCATTATATGCACCATAAAGAAAAAAAAGGTGTTGCTGCCAAAATAAATGATTATATTCTTCAGTCGGGCCTGACTGACAGATATTGTTTTGCAAACAGGTGAAATATGAATCACATTATAATACATAGTAAGAGCCAGCAAATGATATAGAACAAATCTTTTATTCTAAGCACATCAGTCGGTAATCTACACTCAGCGAAAATCTATAACTTTTGAGGAAATATTTGTTTTTATCAAATTCAGCACAAAATACTAAGCTGTCTTATATGTACTGTATGCCGTCTTTCATGTACTGTATGCTTCTCTTTTTATGTTCCCCGAAGGGTGAGCATAAAGTCGTCGCTTTGTCCGTCCGTCCGGTTGTCCGTCCGTCCGCTTTTCTTGTCCGGGACATAACATTGAAACAACAAGGTATCAACATGAAACTTTGTAAGTAGATATATTTCATTAGGTAGATGTGCAATGCACAAGAACCATAACTCTGCCTTGCCTAATTTTGGAGTTATTGCCCTTGGTCCATTTTAACACTTTGAACATTATCCAGGACCTAGTTTTGATTGTATAACCTATATAAAAATGACACTTTGTAGGTCGATAGATCTCATTGGGTAGATGTGAAGTGCACAAGAACCGTTACTCTTCCTTGCCTAATTTTGGAGTTGTTGGCCTTTGTTTATATTAACATTTTGAACTTTGTCCGGGACATAACTCTATCACTATAGGAGATATGAACAAGAAACTTAATAGGTAGACAGATATCATTATGTAGATGAGCATTGCAAAGAACAGTAACTCTGTTTTGCCTTAATTTGGAATTATTGCACTTTGAACTTTGTCCAGGACATAACTTTGAAACTTAAAACGGTCTACTTTTCTGTGCCCAAAACCTATTCGGGGAGCATCATCCGGTTAAACCGGTTCTTGTTTATTTACAGAGGACAAGATTCAAGGGTGGTTTCGCAACCAGAGAACGGCTGTGGGAAAGGTTTGGAAGCATAAATCGGGACAGGCGACAGAAACACTTAATAAACGGAAGGCATGACAGGTGAAGTCCTTCCTTCGCCAGGGATCACAAGACATCGAGGTCCTTTACGTTTGGGTAGACAGTGGTAAGCATTATTTGGATTGTTGTCAAGAAAATGAAAATTTTACTCACTGTAAACGGTGCTAGGGGACGTAGACGGTAACTTGCACTTTCCAGAACCGTTGGGCTTTCTTTAGGAATTCTGTTTTTCTCTATTTTATGGTCACATCAGTGTTATTTTTACATTGTGCCGGCTGTAAAAGGTCTCCCCGTATATATAATCAAAGATGTTATATTTTCGATCCTTGAAGATCGTTCAGCAGGACATCATTGTTGTGTATACATGTTATAAATGTTGAATTCTGCTTAAGCCGGTAACTTACCGGCGTGGACGGTAACTTGCACTTTCCAGAACCGTCAATGAACAGGCTCAATCAAACCGAGCCTGCAACATTTTCAAGTTTGCTGTGTTAGGCTTTCTTTAGGGATTCTATTTTTCTCTATTTCTTCATATTTATTTGTCCCCATTTGTTCATAGGCTGGCATAGGCCCATTAAAGT